TTTTTTTTTGCAATATTTGCAACGTTTTGGAAAACCTCTTAAAGTTTTTTCTTTTTTTTTTATAATAAACTTTTATTATATAAAACTTACGTAGGTACTCTATTTGTGACTGTGAAAATAATTATTAAATCTGTAGATAGGTTGGTTTTATTTACTAATATCTAAGTATTATTTGTCGACGAGCAGGCCATAACTGGACTGATTTTTATTTTCATAATTTTTTTATTTAGGTACATTTTTTTTACAACTTAAAATAGCAAATTTTGGCTCGATTGATGGAAGGTGGTAACCATTATTATGAACATAACATATATAAATAGGTATATATAGACTTATAATATTGACAGACAAAGTTTTTTACACTTAGGCAGGTATCTAATTTATAACTAGGAACATAATTCTCAAGAAAAGGATAAAATTAATTGAATTATACATGTCTGTTTAGCTATCTACCTACATCTATAAAAGTTTATTAGTATAGATTTTGATAGAATAATTAGTTTGATAAATATTTAATTTGTAGAGAGACAAAATTAAATGTATTTCGATACCTACCTACCTAGCATCTACTAAGCTATTGCGATAACTTCAAGAATAGATCCATTAAATTATGTACAAATATGTTAATATGTGCTTTGTTTACAGTACTTATAGAAGTTGTAAATAAACATAAAAAAAGTTATAAAATTAGGAACATTATCTGTTGGTATTGATTAAGCATTTAAAAGATGCTTAAGTATCGGTTAAAATGAATACAGTGTAATATTTTATCATTTCTATACACAATTTACTTTCATTCCCAAAATACTATTTTTTAAATATATCTGTGAGTCTGTGTAAAACTCATGCTGCTTCACCGACGGCACGCAGCCATCTGACCCCCACCGTCCGCCATGTTCCGCTCCTCCCCAGACCCTCCCAACGCCCCCCACCGCAATTACACCTATCTGGCCCTTTCGCCACCAAGCCATTCATTATCTTACTCTTCAGATAATAAAGATTAATATCGCTTGGGGGCTTAAGTTCGGGGCGCCTGGGTGGGTCGTACTGTACACATCCCTTCAGAGCTATTCGTGTCGACACTTACGTAGTACGTGATACAATCCAAGTATAATTGTTGTAATGGTTTCAAATCGACAGCTCTTTTTAGAAAGATGTAGTAATATCAAAATAAATCAACAAAGATTAAGTATATGTAGGAGATTTTTATTGAGTCTTAGTTTTATTTATTTTATTTATTTATTTCTTATTGCATTTCATAATATAATTAGTACATAACATTTCAATTATGGACCCTGTTGGGCACAGCAAGTAGGAGAGAGGAGGACAACACTTTTTTCACTTTCGAAATAGTCTAAGGATGTTACAATATTATCTAGTCATTGAAATTGTATCACGATAAGTACGTATTTTTTTATTATTATTATGTATATATAGTATGTTTACATTAGGTCGGCCAAATAGTAGACAGAGTTGTAGATAAATGATGCTAGTGATGAATTATACAGTGTGTTAATTTATTTGTGGCGTTCAGGCTGCATGGTAAAAGACAAAGGAAGGGCTGTACGCCTACTTTATTCTCAATAATTCAAATACTAGAGAATTTATAATGACCAGTGACTTTAGGTGATTCGCAATAGGAACTTAAAACGATTTGATATAAATTTGCAGTTTAAAAACAAAAATATGATTATTATTTTATTTTTTATTAGATACAATTGAATAAGCCAAGCGTGGCAAATATTGGCAACTCCCCCCCCCCCCCCCAACATTGAAGGATGCTATGTTCAGCAGTGCACAGTTAACGGCTGATAGGTACTACAACAAGTGTTTATAATTATTTATTTTACCAGAGGGTGACTTTGTACAAAAATCGTTTGCTTGGGCACCTCATCTCGCCCTGGTCCCATTCGTGTTTCGACCATGAAGCAATTGTGTTTGCATGGCTGTTTTTTGGTTTAAAGGGCATAATATGGCAGTGAATTTACAGGGTACAGAGGAATAACACCTAAGCCCTCAGAATTGGCAACGCATAGAGGTATCATGGGCGAAACAGTATACTGTTATGTCCATGGTACTGCTCATGTCTACAGGCAACGGTTATCACTTTCCATCAAGTGGGCCGTCAGATTGTTTGCCAAGTTGCATAAAAAAATTGCAATGGCTCTATATACTCGATTCACCTACCTATCAAGATTATACATACTAGTACTATAAATATTTAGGTTTTTGCAAAAAAGTGTATTCACTAGTGATTCTATCTATGTACAAATTAGATAGGTATAAACTTCAAGTTCAACAACCGTTTTATTCAATTAAACAACGTCAGCAACAGATAAATAAACATTCGCGTACTTATCTGACAATATTATTAATAGTCTCAATTTTTCACGCACTAAATATAATTTATTACCTACACGATATTAATTAATTCTTATAAGACCATACCTATAATCTGTAGACCTATTAATTTAATGTAGGTATCAATGTACTCGACGATCGATATAGGTAATTATCAATAGATATCAAAAACGATACGTTTGATTGTCGACGGAGGCGGCAATTCGTTAGGCGCTGCTGAGTAAATTAGAGGCAACGTAATGACAACGGCCACGCCCCGGATTACGCCGTGGCACTCTGTGGAGGCAAGTTTACGAAACCCGTGAACAGGCGGAACTATTAAGGCCTGCGTATATGACGGGCATTTTATTCAGAGAGTCTGCGGTGGCTATTTGAGGTGTATCATATAATGCCCTACATTACTACGATTTGTACCATTTTCAGTCTAATAACTATTTTGAAAAAGAAAATTCCGTATTCAAATTCATATGTCATGCAATTTTAGTTTTTTTTTTTGCATGTGCAATATACCTACGCCGAACCTAAGCAGACAAGGGAACATTTTTATTGCATAAAAAAGTACCGTATCCGGTCCTGGTATCGTGGTCTGCGAAAGTCATTAAATATAACGCAAATTCAAAAGAGTTTGTAATACTCCTAGTATTGATAATGAAAGTATAGGCATAAGAATAATGACAGGATTAATTATTATCGTATTTGCTTTATGCTAGAATTGTAGATAGAGCTTTTCTTTTATATTAAATTATGAATTATTAAAAAAGAAAGTGGCCACTTCTGTGTTTATTTTTATTTATATATATTGGCAAAATTTTCAAAATTAGAATATCCCAATTGCTTAATATATACCTAATATTTGCAACTTTGTGGTAACAAAGTTATAAAAGGCTGGTTTCATTCGTCAATTTACTTAAAATACATGTTTAATTATAAAACTTTTTTGTTGCAACTAAATCCTGTCACACCCGCCACTAACCCCTCAGTTATGGTAGGCTGGCCGATTATACCCAAGCTCGCCAACGAGGCGTTCACCTCGCCGTGAATCGGCACTTCTGCCCTCACCATTAACACAATTACGTTGAAAAATAACTAGGCAGCCAAATTAATTAATTTACAGAGTTTAATTATCTCATCAGAGCCATAAAGTCGTGAACAATTTGCCGGCGAGCGGCTTATCGGCCATCATATCGCTCCCGGACAGCCGCGTACCAATTAATAACCAACATTGTAGCGTGATGAGAAATCACCGACACTGTTATTACAAAATAGATAACGTGGCCTCTAATTAACGTAACAAGAAAAGCTTGTAAGAACTTTGGCACTTATCTAATTGAATAAATAAAAATGATTTTTCCCATGTGTTTACTCTTCATGTCTCTATCGCTTTCAATCGGGTAGGTCATGTGTTTGTTTGCAGAAAAATTATTTCGATTTTTAGTTTCTTTGTTAAGAAATATTGTAATATAAAAAGATATGTTTTAATTTGTGATGTATTTCTAGCTATCTATTTGAAACTATATGTATATAAATAATAATAAATATAGTATATAAATAGTATTATAGTAGTTTAGGTATATTCGCTATAAAATTTATTAATTAAATGTAGAACAGTAATCATTTTAGGGATTATTAGTAATGGGATCTAGTGGCCGTATAGGTGACATTTTTTTATGGATGATAACGAAATGGTAATCTTTATATTATTCTTAATTTCGTCTATAATATGGTATATAATATATATATTTATTCGTTTATATATATAATTTTTGTATGTATGTATATCAATAATTACTAGTACCGCATTCGAGTATTTTGACACTTTCCTATGGTTGATTGGAAGAGAATGCTTTTAGTATTAAGTCCGCCATGTACACATATTTGTACTAATGAATGAATAAATAAATAATCCCGCTCGGGCTATCGGTATACACTAGCGGGGCACCAGTGAAGAATGATAGGCGAGAATGAAATCAAGTCAGTTGCCTCATCGCGATGAATTTGACAATAATTAATCATGATGGTGGAACCGCGTGGAGATTGATCCGAAAAGGTATATTGCTAGCAATGGGGATTAACGTCTCTATTACTAACGATCATTCTCACTCCATTACTGGCATTATAACATCAGGTCGATCTCTTCCTGCTGATGCTAAGGAAGATTCCTTAGCATTCATCATCATCATATCAGCCGTTAACTGTCAACTGCTCTACATAAGTCCTCCACCCCATAAAGGAGGTTTTGTCAATAGTTGCTACATTTGACAAGTGGGTTGGCAACCATAGTTAGGATTTGGTAATGTTTTAAGAGCGACGCTCCTGTCTATGCCTCGACTATTAAGTTCCCTTAGTCGCCTTAGAAAGCATTATGATTATTTAATACGTGGTCATCACGTTGAGCCAAATGAATTGACTTCATACCTATCTCTGATTTTTCATTAGTATGTGCTTCACCATTACAAACTAATATTGAAGTTATCATACATTTTCATCTATGAAAAATAACTAAAATGATTTGTAAAAAACATTTAATGATATGCATAAAAAATTAATTGATTTGGAGATCACCACTGTGTATAAGTAACATTAGATAGCTAGTTAAAATATAAAATACCTTGTTCACAACCATTTGTTCTCTTCCCCAGATTGTTCTGAACTCGATGCATCGGTACCAACCTCGAATCCACCTGGTGAAAGTTCGAGAAGGCGCCGGCCCTATCAGCGACTTATCACGGGAACAGCATCGCACCTTCGTGTTCCCAGAAACTGTTTTCACAGCCGTGACGGCATATCAGAACCAGCTCATCACCAAACTGAAGATCGACTCGAACCCTTTCGCCAAAGGATTCAGAGACTCTTCAAGACTTACGGACTTTGACCGGTGAGTTTATTAATAGGCTACTTATTAAAATAGCATTAGCGAAAAGAGTAGAGTAAGAGAGTAAAGTAGATACATTTTCCGAAATTTTTGCTCTCAGCAATAAGACCACTTTACTGTACTTAAACAATTGTATCGTTATATTTATTGTCTTGCTTATTTCCTATATTGTAAAATGCAAATAAAGTGTACTCGTTTTTTCAAAGTATTTGCTCTTAATTATTTTTATACTAAATTACCACCAATCAAAGCCGCTTTATTTACTTTTTTTTTCATTAAATAAACGACAATTCTTTTTCTATTTTTATACTAGTGTCTTTATTACTACTTACCAATACCATTCACAGAGGTATAATAGCATAGATACTCGTAGAAGAGAACAATTAAAGTAACAATGACATTATTATTGATGCCAATGCTGTTCTTAAATACAATATTTATATATAAAAATTACGTAAACTGTAAATACAAATGATTTAAATCTGTAATCCGATGTTTAAATATTGAATTCGTGGGAATTAGAATGGAGAAAAATAAAAGTCTCATCCAACTAATTTATTATTTATTAATTAGCTATCACTCACTGCTTTTTGTACGTAATGTTGTGTTCCTTTTAAGATGAAATGTTCTAAAATCCTTCCTAAGTGGATGCTTATATTAATAATAATATTATATTAATATTTATTTATTTATAATTATGCATAATATAAGGAATAAAAATATTTTTCTTTATGTAAATTTAATAATAAATATTTTTGAATAGTTATTGTTTTATGAATCTATTGGAATCAAGGAATTGTTTGCTTTTTTCAAATAAAATTAATGATTACAAAAAAAAAAAAAAATGGAAGCGAATGGATAAAATTACTATCACAAATTTTATATTGATAAAAACCCACAATCTATTACAGTATTTTTAAAGAGACCAGTCTCTACTAAAAGCAAGGTTGTGTTCAACCATATTATATGGAGCTCAACGACATGGCCCACTATGCCGCGAATGAAACTATGTTCTAAATTTCAGCTTTCTTGACATAATTTTGTCTGTTCGCTGATAGTGAAGGAAATGAAAGAAAGCTTTTATATCTATATAAAAATACTATATAAAAACGATTTTATAACTATATGATAGATAAATGGGATAATCAATTTCCTAAACACCAACACAAATTGAGTCTAGAGTTGTAACTGAAAATCTCGATTAGTGATGGACACACGTCGCACACATGTTATCTAAAACGTTCCGATGTTTCGGCGCTCGAGGCGAGTTTGATAAATTGGCAGATTATTAGCAACAGTTGAAAGGCATTAGGGCCGGCCGCCCTGCAATTTGTGCGGCGAGAGACTCCAACATGAATAAAAGATTAAAAACGAACCACCTCGTCTGATTGCGGCTGATACGAGGTTGAATGCCGATCGAAACGTCGATTTCGGTACGTTGTTATCTCCCGAATCTGCTTAATCGTTGCTAAATCATACTTCAGAACTATAATTAAGCTCTTGAAAGGATCAATTTTTTTTTTGTTTGATTGGTAAATGTAACATTGAAATTTTAAGATTTTTTACTACCTAATCCTAGATTAGTTAAAGTCACAAAAATATTGAGTCCATTATGCGTTACTGTACGAGTACACTTGCGGGACACTAGTAAGGAATGATAGGTGAGGATGAATTCAGGGCAGTAGCCCCATCGTGATAAATTCATCAGGGCTACGATGATATCCAGAGGGGGCCAATCTGAAAGTGTCACATTGCTAGCAATGGTGGTCCTAGTTCTCATTACTAAAATTTCCTTCCTCCAGAGTCAGAGTTTATAGTAGGTGCTGGAAATCGCTCTGCCATTTTTAGCATCTTGAGACAGATTTCTTAATGACATTACCTTCACAGGGCAATTTAATCGCAAATTACTAAGTCATAATGACTCGTTCGTTTTAAAATTAGTAAGTGTCGTTGTTGACCGGAATAGTCAGCATAAATTATAATAACTACATATTAATTTAAAATTATTTTTACCTAAATAATATCTGATCATAAATATTTATATGTGGACTATTTATAGAATAAGCATTTAAAATATTAAATGTATTTAAGTAATAGCGAGTTAATGAATGTGTTAAACAAGTGATGTCATGGTGCTAATTAGAATATAGTAATTTAGGTAGCTTACCATATCAACATGTGTGTCAAACATATAAAATTTATGGTCGCGTTATTTATTTTAATGTTTCTGTCAAAACCATAAAGTATTATATTGCAACGGCTACAACATTTTATTTGTTGCTTCTCCTTTATGTGTTTATATTAAAAAGACCCATTTTTATTTTTTTGCTATAAAATATTATAGACAATAAAATTATTTTTTTATAGTTCAACCCTATTAAAATAATATCTTAATATATTTATATCTTGTTATCATTCTATGATATTCTTCTATCTGCTGCATTTAATGTTTCTAGAAATGTAGTCATATTTATAGTATTTTAGCTCTAGTTTATGGTAATATTAATTATCAATTAAAAAATATTTAATGAAAATTAAAAAAAAAAAACCCACCTAAAGTAATTTAGGTACACCTAATATTAAAATCAGTTACTAGATTCTAAAGTGCCAATCGTTAACAACACCTATAAAGTAATCTCTAAAATTAAAAATATAAATGGATACCTTAGTAAGTAAACAGATTATGGACTACTAAGAACTAAATTTGATGTAGTCTTTAGAATTCTTTACGTCGTACGCCTGCTGAAGAAACATACGAAGAATAACCTGTGACACTGCGACCTTTCCATGATCTTTTGTGCTCGCCCTTTTTTTAAAATTTGCTGCTGATTCCTGTCGATGATAGGAATTGTGAAATGTCTTTTGTAGCGACATTTTTTATCTCCTCAGGATATAGTGTGTTTTACAAAGGAGATATATCGTTTATCTATGATTGGGCTACAACCATACATTTAGTGCTGCAGCGTTTCTTTGTCACTGTGACAAAATCTACCAACACTTTGGGCATAAACTTAGTTGGGCCATATGTTTATTTAGTTTACAGTGTCCAGTGAGAGCCCTTGTTAATGCACATAATTATATGATTTTTACTTAAAATAATTAATTTCTTAGAGTAATTTTCTGAAAATCCCTTAATCAGAACTTTTGAATGATTTAATCCTGGCAACAGGAGCCGGCTATTATTTGCTCCTTTGTTGTTATATATATAACGTCTAAGTTATAAATGTATTAAACATTTTATAACTTTTTTTAAACAAAAAGTATTAAAAAAAAAACGCTTCAAAATCTAAGATTAGGTTTATTATACATATGACCTTTTTATAAAAAAGCAAGAATTTTTCGTGCTATAACTGATCTTAGTTAAAACTGACACGGCTGAGTACGAATTACGATACATAATATTCTCACTCGGCTCTAAGAAACGTGTTCGCACATTCAAGACATGCAACATGTTCCGCGCTGGGGCGGTGGAAACAGCTCACGTCAGCGGCGGCCGGCGGCGGCGGCGCGCCGTAATCACAGGGCGCACACTCATTATACCCTAAACGACAAATTAAAACGCGTTTCTATTATCTCACCATCGACCATCGCTGTTTCGGCGTGAACCGGTTCTCCAGGCGTCTTTCTCATTCATATCCAGTCGACTTTAAGCAAAATAAACGCTTTCTGTTCTGTAACATCGTGTACCTCGCGGGTTTGACTACATGGATTGGAATTAAAGGTATAATGTGTTGAACTATGATATGGTTCATCGTTATAATAAATTTCATTCCAATCAATTTTATCTGATTGTGACTAATTGTTTCGCGTGACTTCATTCGCGGTATAGGGTAATTGACCAGGATTAGAAGCTGTCTATGTCCTGCATTTGACTACATTTAAGACGGTTAGTTTAGAGGATAAAACGCCAAAAGGTACCAAAAAGATCGAACAAAATAATTTTCATATTTAGTAATATTAACTGTGATATGATATTAGTAAGAATCGGCAGAAAATAGAATGAATCTGTATAAATCTGTGCACCTAGTGATAAATCTGAGAAATGGATGTCATATATAAATCAAGCTACAGAGTTATGGTTTGGTGCCCAAAAAGTAAAAAAAAAAATACCTTTTCTTGTAAATTGCCTTTCGTATTACGAGTTCTTTTCGTCCTATATATAAATCTCGGATCCTTCAGACGTAACTTAAAATATTTTCTTTTCGGTTGATTGCATTCATGGACCGTATTTTCCCTGTTTGCTCAAAATCACACATGTCATAGGTCACATGTTGTGATATTATAAAAAAATAAATAATGAAATTGATACAAAATCCAAAAGTATATTTTTCTTTACTAAAGTCTAACTACGATTGCAAACCCGCCAGCTAAGCGTAGCAAAACCCCCCAAGGGGGAGGCCTATATTTAGCAGTGGACAGTTAATGGATGATAGGTATGATGATAATGATATTTTTTTTTTTTTATCAATTTTATTCCTGGAAAATTTTTAGGAGCAATATATTCAATTAGGTAGTTGGTATCGAATCCTCAGTTTGTAATGCATGTTGAAAAAGCAAGTAAGCAGATTTTTTTGTTATAAAAAAAGTAAGTAAATGTAAACGTTTACATATCTTTAATATTATTTTTAAAACGACATACATAGTAACTTCATAAAATTCCAGTTGTGTTCACATATTTGAAATCTCTTAACTTTTGTGCGCAGCAGAATTATCGAACCTATTATATATTAATCTAATCTAAGAAGGCGTCGGTGCGCGGCTACCGATTGGGATTAATTGATACAACGTATAGGCGGCGCGTTGATAGTTCACCGCTAGTGATTGACGGTTAATTCGAGATGTTATCGATGCAATTACCGCGCTTCCTCCGCACGTCGCGCATCTCGCGCCTGTCGCTGGACCGCTACCGTTGCAACCGACATTTACCCACGATCTAAAACGTCATGCGATCGAACTTTAAGTGCCCGCCGCAGCAGATTCTTATCTTAAAACATTTGAAATCGTCCTTACTAATGTTTTAATAACAAAAATCTATATTTGTTTGTACATTTCGTGGGCTGAATGTGGAAATACAGATTTGTTTAAATTCAATAGTTTCGAAAGTATGTAATATGAAAATGTTTGTTTCATATTTGAACTAATTTGATTGTTAATTTTTATTATTCATGTGACATTTTTAAAATAATTCTCTTACCATGTTATAACAGGTAAATGATTCTATGATATTATATTACAGGATTTATTCACAAAAAAAACAAAATATAATTTCTCACCAAAGTATATACGCTGCTGCTCATGCCCACCGCTAATATCACTTCCTTTTGAAATTTATTCATTAATAACGGTTTATGAATCAATGAACAATTAGTAGCTTCTCACTTTGACTGTTATGTTGAATGACGGCGACCACTGCTAGTGCTACTGTGCGCCGCCACTCATTGTCGACCAGCGAAACCAGTATAATACCACAATGTACTCGTAAGTATTGATAATATCTTGTAGCGGATACTATTCTGCCATGTCACTTACGACGCTGAAACTGACGATAGTAGGTTGATTTAAAAGTCGATTCGGTAACATCCGTCTACATTGTATTACGGCCCCTGAGGCAGGTCACTGAGTTTTACTATGATTGCCGAATTCACACCAACATAAATATAAATGTTTAAAACAACGACCTAACCGCGTTCAGCCTTAATGACTTCCTTCGCTGACGTCCAAAATCGTCAGACAATAAGTATGATGAATTGCCATTGTGTGAGAAACGGGCGGTGTAGTTATTTGGCGTGGTGGCCGGGTCGGCTTATCATCCATTAATTAATAAGACACGCCCCTCGCTCAATCAGGGCCGATATTTAGCGAGCGAGTTATATTTATACTCCGACGCACCTCTTCGTTAATTGCATGATTCATTTAAGAGCTAGAAATAACTTTAATGACAATTGCACGTCGCTTGTCCGCGGGTGGTAAGTGTTTAACTTTCTACCAGTAAAACAGTCGAATTTCATTTCCTAAAGTTCATTTCAATAACTGTGCAATAAATTTTAATATGAAATGTGCCTGTCAAAATAATTTTCCCACTCTCTGATACGTTGAGTGTAGGTTTCAACAATTTGAACGATAATGTCCTATACTTGGTCTTTAAGGTTGGGATAGTTTATATTTCATATATTGTATATCGATATAATTTGTTCTAATTTAGGTATAATTTTGAAATTGTTAGTCTATTTATTAATAAAAAATAAATATTTTAAGATCTTAAGTAGAGACTTAAGAATCTATATTGTATAAAATATTATATAAAAAGTATTACATATGCATAAGTAGTTTATAAATCACTTGCAATAGGCAAATCTGGTTTTGTATTTTATAGAATGTAATGTATAGTTACAAGCAATGCTTATCATTCGGGTACACAATAAACTTGGAAAGGAAACAATATTTCATTTTTATCAGATTGCCTCATTATGCATTTGCAACTACAATATCGATAAACACGAGTCGAAGCGAGATATCGATAAGGGCATTTGCGAGCTCGGCCCGTCCCTAGCAGCGAGCCTCTAAGAGCCGCCGCCCTGTAATTTGCTGGCGGAGAGTGTTGGCTATTACTGCTGATACCGAGATCATAATAAATACGCCATTAACGCCCCAAAGCCCCCGAAACGACATAACCATTCGGACTAACAGCCCATCCATACACGAACCTGGACGCGCTTACGACCTTTTCACTTCGAATTCCGTCTACGTGTAAATTTAAAGACATTAGTGGTGGCGAGGAATGTGTTAGTAAAATTACAATATACGTATTGTTTGGTTGTTTCATCAGTAATTTGTAAGAATTACATTAACAATGAATAATTCTGTGTAATATCATGTGTCGTTGAAATGTTTCTTTTTTTATAATGTGATATTATTAATCTTCATATTTTTACTTAACAACTGTATTTTGTGGTTAAATATTTCTGAAATATTTTTACAATACGTGTTCGTTGCGGCATGTAATTTGACATTTATGTTTCTAGACATTCTACTCTCACTGATCGAAGTCAAAAAGCTGGGAGATATTGTATCGGAAGTCTTTAACCTCGATATTGGGACACGTTACTAGTAGTAGAAATGTACCTACTGGGATATCTTGATATTTTCAGAATCAGGAAATCTATTGACACACATTTATTTATTACTAGCTTTTACTTGCGAGATTTCGTCCACGTGACCAGCACGTGTTCACGAATGGGGATAAAATGTAGTTTGTCTTTTTCATCTCATAAAATATGTATATAATAGGTAACAAATAAACAAATTTTAACAGTGTACCTAATTAGTGATTAAAATATAATTAACTGTGCGCTGTTTATTTATTTCATTTTAGTTTTTTAAGAAAAGTTGTTTAGGTCCTTTAGATTTCAAGGTATTCTCGAATTACCTAAAAAAATGTTCAGCTGTAATAAATAAGTAAACAAACAGTATTTTTACATCTAAAATATTAGGTAGTATGGAATAATAATATAAGTATGGATTTTATAAATGCAATTTCAACCTTCACACTTGAGTAGATTACCAGCGGCCACATATCAATCTCGTGTGATACCTGTTATAAGTCGGAATAGAAAGTTATAGGTGAGATAATATACGGTTACGATAACATTAACACCGCTATTATTAGTTTTTATAGAAATTAGGGTGTTTAAAAAATCTATGTTACGACTAGCGTGTGTGGGCAAGCCACTACCTGTTTTAATTCCCGGGCCGAGTGCGCCGGCGCCCGGGGCTGCTGCCGCGGTGATAGATTAAATTCGACACGGCATCTCGTGATGTCATGCCAATTTTGTGGTTCACCTCGAGCCAGCCGTGTCGTCACGCTCATTTGCCGCTCACAAGCCATCCTTCGCTTTCGAGACGTAAAACGTTATTAATAAACGGCTCGCCAGTACTTTAGCATACCATTTTCAGCTCCTCACGCTTCGGATCGGGAAGAAATTGCATTCTCGTTCGATTTCTATTGACCCGGCGTGCATGATGCATTATTGCACGCTTTTGAATACCGTTGATAGTTTCGTAGAGAGGCGAAAATAGCGAATTAACGGGAAGCATGCTCGGTGGCGGTCGCGACAACCTCCGGGAACCGATAAAGGGCATATAGCGCACTGCGTTGAGCAATAAAGGGCCGAGCCGCGACGCGACGCCTCGTTAACTGCGAGTACACTCGTAAAGGCGCTTCGACGAAACAATCGCCACAGATATTGTGCGGATAGATTACTCTTTGCGTCTTTATATCCTTAAAACGATTATACTCGTACATGCGCACATCATTAGAATTTCGTTTTGTTATGATGTAGCAAAACATCTGATATTTACCTGATCAATGTTTACCAAGAATTTTGAATAAACGGCGTGAGCACATTATGTTTTATGATATTCTCGAATGCACGTGGTCCTTCGGTGGTCTCCCGCCTTTCCCCGAACTCAGTTTTATAGACTATGGACCGCTGAAAACTAATGAACGGGTAGACTTGCGAAACTCGCGCATTCGGAGAATTCAATGTGATCTCGACTTGAATTTAGGTTCACCAAAATAGATTCATTTTTATAGTCACATAAGTCTAGAAATACGTGTGTGAACTATTACTAAAGACAAATATGACATTTAGCAACCTAGTGCTGATATAGTTTCATGACATATTCAAGTTACTAAATTCAATTTTATCACACTACTTAATTAACTAAAGTCCATATTATTCTTCTTCCCCAGAGATCCAATGGAGTTGATGTTGATGGAGCAGCAACTATTGCGATCTCCGTTGAGACTGTACGCGGGTGGGGCGAGCGCGACCAGTGGGGACGAAGAAGCCGAGAAGCGAGCGGCGTGGGCTCGGACTCCGCCGGCGTTGCAACTGTTGGCGCTGGGAGGCCGTACCTGGCCGTCCGCTTGGCCGCAGCCTCTAGCACTACCGCCAGACCTCTGGCTACAAAAGCCCCCGGCGCCCCTTCGATACTGCCCCTATCCGCCCCCGACGCACCCCGCCGCGCAGCCATCGAGAGCTGACCACACGCCTTCTCCGCGACATCCTCTGTGAACTGTCACCATTCCAAAGTAATCATACCGAACTTGATTCCTTAAGTTCCGCAGCTTACTTAAACGAAAATGTGCTGTGACGTAAATAGTTCATTAATAGATCTACAAGAGCAACGTTGTATCGGTATAAATATGTAATTTTGTATATGTTACATGATTTGCTCTACGATGTGCAAGATCTGATATGATCCAAGACATACAATAAAGTATTCAAAAGTGAATTTTAAAATAGTACCTTATAGAAAATGTATGTACTGTTTAGATAGATATAAGTGGTTACTATTAGATTTACTATAAATCATAATTTCAAGGTTCCTACCCAAAATAATAATAATTTGCAAGTAATATAAATGTAGATTCAAGGGAATGTTGATAATAGTTACCTGCACATACAATACAGATACACTGTCATTCGATTTCAAATAGATTTATGAAATTTATTTTCTGATAACTTGTAATAAATTAACAGCGCTCATAAATTAACATTAGTCTTCAAGTACATAATATTAACCAAAGAGCAATATTTTAACTTAATACCTATGTCAATTTTATTGTCAATATATTTACTTACCACTAGTATCTAATCTATATCAATAATATTTCTATGCATTATGAAATTATTTTAAAATAAAACATTCCAGTCTTATAATTTGTTGTCTACTTAACATTATAAAAATTGTAAAACAATTTTACCCATTTACAAATTTAAATCAATTAGTCATTTAAAAAAAAAAACTTCTATATAATATAGATACAAACCATGTTGTTTATATACAAACATAAATTTTGTAATCAATAAATACAAAGAAATCAAGTAATGAAATTTCTCAGATCATGTTAGATTTATTATCTATGTTTAAAATTAATACATTAATAAATATAGATGGTGTAATGCCATTATTCCTGTGAATTCCAAATCAGTGATAACACGTAAATAAATTAGAGTATTATTTGTATTTTGTGTGTACATTTTACTGTTTAAGACTATTTATATTCCGTATATAAGTTACTTATATAAAATGTATGTATTGTATAGTGTTCGACTAAATTATTTTTGTAGGATAAGCACTGTATATAGAGGGTTCACTTAGATGTTTGTATCAAATAAGAGATTTGAAGAAGTATTGTCTTAGTAGAAAAATTATTTGAGTGTGCTGCTCACTATTAAAAAGGAATTATATTAGTTTGAAATTATTTAAGTATATAAAACTATTATATTTGAAAACCAAATTAAATAAATTGACATTATGATTTGTAATATTAATCGCTGTAACGCCTAATTTTGTTATAATTATGTCTCTCATACTTACTACAAGATTGTCAGTTTTTGATTATTCCTATGTACTGTATAGTGTCTAATAGAAATACTATTATGATCAGTATTAATGCAATGTACATTTTCTTATTTTAATTTAATTTGAATTTCTACAATTTAATATTGATATTTCTATAAATAATTCTCCATTATAATATTTCCTATACGATTTAACATAAACAAAGCAAGTACAGGCAACAAAAATACGAAGAATAAGGATATTTCTTATTTCTCGTCGAATATTAGCTCAAACTCTTAACAAAATATTATTACTTTTAAAATATTATTGGTTGTCCTATATAAAGTAGGTTATACGAGTATTTATTAGAATTTTTAATACATCTATTTAGACGAACCTAATAATTCTATAATACTACATGTACTATACAATTATTAATAATTTATTGTCATATATGTATACTCATTATACGTAATTGAAATACATTTAATAATTCTTAATTTATGAAACCACATAGTCTGTAAACGTAATGTTACGAAGTATTCCATGTAATGTAAACAAGCACTACGATACTTGAGAAATCTCTACATAACAGGTGAAATAAATGAATGCAGTTTTATTATAATGATTGTATGTTAAGGTTTTATTATTTTATCAAATATAAATTAGCGTACACTATTTATATATTATTATAAATTCATAACGTATAAATGACACAAAAACCTCAGATTGATTACTATTCTGACAAAAAAATATATTTAACCCAAGTGTTTGCTGTAGTATATGAAATAAAATTTTCAATTATTATGCCTCTTCATCTCATCATAATAAAATATAAATTATATGAACTGTAATGTCTATTTAATGTAATCAATATTTATATGATCTATACATATACAAATATCCTCATAAAATTTGTAATTATCTGGTACAGAAGTATAGAAATGGTTGTGATTACGACTCTGTTCTGTAGTGCAATTTATGAAAATTATTTCGTACAAAGGTAAATTTAGATTTCGACATTATGAGTACGTAATGAACAGGTCCTAAGTTTGAGTTACTGTTATTTTTAGGTTGATTGATCAACGATTATTGATGAAATAGTGAGCAGCACACGACAGTAGCAACACATATCAGGGTCGAGCCCTAAGTGTTAATAAACTGAAATCAACCCAATCGTCGTTTTATTCTTACCAGGCATTTAACAAAGTTGTGTGATTCTTTTTGTTTTATGCAATTTAAAATGGCAAACAAACTAACGGCCCACCTGATGGAAAGTGGTAACCGTCGCCTATAGACGAGCAGTACCATGAACATATCAGAGTATACTGTTTCGCTCATGATACTTCCCATACGTTACCATTCCCGAGGACTCAGGTGTTATTCCTCTGTACACTGTAAATTCACTGCCATATCCCACCTTTCAAACCGAAACACAGGTATACAAACAACTGCTTCACGGTAAAAACACGAATGGGGCAGAGGTGCCCAAGCAAATGACTTTTGTATAAAGTCTCCCTCTGATCTAATAGCTTAATAGATAATAATGGAATGCTGATAGGCTACCAGGAAGGAATGATAGGTGAGGATGAACGCAAGTCAGTTGGTCCGTGATAACGAATTAAAAGAGAATTAACCACGACGGTTTCTAGCAGCAATCGCATGGAGATAGACTTTTTATTTATTTTTATACAACTTCGAATGTCAAACAAGCTGACGGCCCACCTCATGGAAAGTGGTAACCGTCGCCTATAGACATGAGCAGTACCATGGACATAACAGAGTATACTGTTTCGCCCATGATACCCCCCATGCGTTGCCATTCCTGAGGACTCAGGTGTTATTCCTCTGTACCCAATAAATTCACGCCATATCTCACCCTTCAAACCACAGCCACACAAACACAACTGCTTCACGGTTGAAACACGAATGGGACAGAAGTACCCAAGCAATCGACTTTTGTACAAAATCTCCCTTTGGTAAAACTTGACTTATATATTTAGCAATTGCCGTATGGTCCCGGCATAGAATGAGCCACTCTTGTCTTTCTCGTGGGTATCGTAAGAGGTGACTAAAGAAACTTAACAGTCGAGGGATAGGCAGCAGCTTTTTAAAACATTACCAAAAGCCTTCCGGCGGTTGCCAACCCGCCTGCTGAATGTGGCAACTACTGGCAAAATCACCCTTTTGGGGGAGGCCTATGTTTAGCAGTGAACAATGAATGATTGATATGATGATAATCATGATGACAACAACGAGAATTAGTGTCATCATCCGTACCCGTAGATACTAACGATCCCTTTCTTTCTTCTACCCAACAGCTACTTGCATAGCCCTGTTTCGGTTTAAATGAATAGTGATATATGGCAGTTAAATTACTGGGTACGGATACATAACAAGAGTCTAGTCTTTAGGAATAGCAACACATGAAGATATCGTTACAATCTGTTCTCTGGTGTCTTTGGTACTGTTTCTGTCTATAAAGTACCTACTTACGATACTTATTATAAATGTGAAAGTTATTTTGTTTGTTTGTTACCTTTTAGGGTCTTAACGATTTAACCAATCAATATAAAATTTGGTATACATCTAATATATGAGATGTAGAAGAATATTCTTTTTTCTTTTTATCTCGGTTAGTATACATATCGCGGTCACGATGAAGAAGTTACGGGTAAAAACTAGTAAATAGTAAATATTGCTAACAATGGAGCTGCCGAGCTAGTAGCCATCCGGTGAACATATAGAGAAAGAGACTTAAGATTGTTTTCATGATATCAGAACTTAGTACCTATAAATTATTACTATCGTAGGTACTGTTTAGAGCAGCGATAGCTCAAATGAACAACGCTTTACCTGCGATCGCAGACCCCAAGATTAAATCCTAGCCTAAACCTGAATTTTTTAAATCTTCTTTGACCTATTTAAAAAAATTATTGCCACTTCGGAAGGCATATTTTTTTAAGCAACATAGAATGGCAAAAAAGCTGACGGCCCACCTGATGGTGGTGAAGTGGTAACCGTCGCCTATAGTCATGAGGCCGTATATCTAAGGTCATCGTGTACAAAAGTAACCTAGAAACTTCACATCAGATGGCGATATTCACGTCTAAATGAGTAGTAAGTAATTATTACTGGCGACTGCAGTTGTATTAATAAATTCACATGTATAATTCTCTATTATAATTCTGGCCTACAAAGCTATAAAGTTTTTATTGTTTCCATAATTGTAAGTAAACTGAAAATTAAACTATTTTTTCGTCCAAGCGAAGTATAGGAAGGTATAACAAAACTATAGAGGATAATTAAGACAACTCGTCATCTAAGTATATCGAAGTTGACGCAGTCAATATAGATAATGCGATAGGCAATAAATAACCGTCACACTTTTATTTTCCGTCTTTATTAAGTGTCATTAGGCATTATTAAGCGTATATCGATGATCGGCCTTCCGTCCGGGCAGTAATTGCTGTGGATGTAAGCGGACTACAAATTGAAAGCGGCCGAAGCCTGAGGCGCGTATTGATGGATCTGCCGCCATCGTGAAATTATAGCTGGCCCTTGCGACAGCTTCGCAAATTGTGCGTATAATGCTAGTAAATAATACTGGGTTCGCTATAAATTCATGCAGGCTAGCATCTAAGTATATGCCTGTACGGTGTGAGATGTGTTTGATGCTCAGGTGCGCATACGAAAATTGATCTATTATATGCACGTAGACGGCACGGCGACACGTCGGAGTTTTAGGTGAAACGTTTGGATTCTTTTATTTCTGCTTATTTGTATAGGTATGTTAGTCTAAAAATATATTAAGATGTATTAATTTTGTATCAATGGCTGGCTAAGAAGACCTTGTATTTTTTTATCTCGGTTGACGGTTGTCATCGTATTAGCGGTCTGTCTGGAAAGCGTAGAGGGTAAAGGTATTCATTTTTAATTCCTAAAAACCAGGCCAGTATTTTTGACAGTCAGGTTTGTAAAAAAAAGTTTTCATATATTGACACTGTTTATATGTATATACTTATCATGAGAATTTTATGAACTTACTATGTTTGTCGTTTTCAACAATTGTTTCGACTTTACCCGATGGTCTTTTCTCGTAAGTCGCAAAGTGCTATACGTCCCCTAAAAACTTCCGAATGAAGTTGAAATAATTGTCGGAAATGACAAACATAGTAAGTTCATAAATATATATATATATAGAAAAAAAAATTTAATATTGTATCACAATGTATACTACTAATACTAGTACATTTTCCACAGTGATATTGTTAAGTCGTCCGTTACAATGCACAATAAAAATGGAAGACCTAAGTGCCATCACGCCGACAGAGCTTACAGACCGCGTCTGCAGTGCGAGTGCATCAGGAATCGAGCGTCGACCGGTGCATAAATTAATGCAGTGTATTCCGCAGACATCGACTGATTGACTCCTTTCATTACCGTCTCGCATTGTTCGCTCCGAGAGAAAAATCGCATATCCTTTTGGAATCACAACACATTTCATAATTATGGACTATTGTGCAGTTGTCGGGACTAATTCACCGGGCTCGGGCGGGCGCTCTCCTTGCCCGAGGAGCCTTCGAGATATATTGGCGTACGTAAAGTCTGACCCTGATTTCATAATGGCTGGCGCTGATTAGTTTTCAACGGAAACACTAGTTCGAAGAAAGATCCCGAGAATTTAATGTTCTGTCAGTTTGAAGGGGTATTGTTAGCTGAAGGCTATTATTGTCTATTCACGTACAAAATTACATGGGCTTGTTTAACAATCAAACGTCAAGTAAATTATTAAATATATGCCAACCAAAATATCTATAACCATCCACATTTGTATATGGAATTAGGTTTAGTTCACAAGAGCTTTAGAATAAGTATTAATTGTATCTATTTGTTAGGCGTTATGGAGTATTGTTCCTCGAGCGTGGCGGTAGATTATCAGTGATTAACTTAGATAGACGTCTGTGGCCCACGTGAGAGCTCTGCCCGTGCCCGGTCGTGCCCTGCGCCAGATCGCGATCTACCCACATCGCACTGTACGGCGCCTGTGGGAACATTATTGGTCTAAGACGTAAATATTCCTATAAATGTTTAATGTTATCTCATATATCTGTTCAAGATGTAAGAACCTTTATAATATAAACATATCGCTATACCTATACAAATCTTGCAATTTACTTTGAACTAACTCCCGTCATCTTTTTAAAATATCATGGAAATTGTCACTATCAATAGATGTATTTATAGCAAATTTATTAGTGTGATAATGTCTCTGGAAAGTATTACATACTTTCATGTGCACGAATCGAGTTTTAATTTATTAAATTGATTTTGATATGTATTTAAATAAGATAAGATAAACCTTGATCAGAACTGCTGATGTCGAGTGAAGTCGATTATTGTAGGTTCTACGTATGTAAACATTTTGTAGAAAGCTTTCTAATATACCTATCTAGTAGGTACCCACTGCTAAAATGCAGTTTTGTTCCTTCAATTGAGGAACAGTTTAAAATGTCATTCAGTGTAGTAGACTAGACAGGCATGTTTTGTGTGCCAAACGTTTTTCTAAGTCGATGCAGTAACGGTGCCGTCTGTCGGCTGCGTCCGGCGTCCACGTCAGCTGCCAGCTCTAGACGAACGGACAGACAACTAAATAGAGGTAGGTTAATCGTCGCGTCCAGTCCAGGGAAACGGCAAATTACTACGTCACGATGTTCCCAACAATTGCTTTGTTATTGCTGATAGACGCGTACACGATTTGTTCTATGCCCCAATTGTGAATTAAACATTTAAAAATATATGGAAATCGATTTTGTTTACGTTACATTAAACCCGGCATTTATATTTACTATACGATGGCAGCCAGGCTGAAAGATCTTCTTATTGGAACATTAAAATTGCGAGTCTAAAACTCTTATCCTTCAGCTCACAAATGCAACAAACTATGTTGTTGTGAATTTGTGTTTGCATAGCTGTTTCGATTTGAAGGGCATATATGGCAGTGAATTTACAGGGTACGGAGAAATAACAACTGAGTCTTCAGGAATGGCAACGCATGGGGGGTATCATGAGCGAAACAGTATACTCTGTTATGTCCATAGTTTTGCTCATGTCTATAGGCGACGGTTACTACTTCTCATCAGGTAGGCCCTCAGATTGTTTGCTATTTTA